TCTTAGGTTCAGGGTTTATGGCTCTTCTGTGGCTATACAAGTAGATAAGCTTTCCTGTGTATATTTCCAAAGGGGCCCTCTGATACTCACCTGTTGACCCTTGTTAATGACTTTGGGTTTCTTTGGATCTTTTTGTGGGATAACAGTACTAACTAGTAAGAATTGGCCAACCTCACTTTCTGTATACACCCTTTACTGTTGCAGCCTTCAAATATGTGGCCCAGAAAATAGACTCTCCCCAGTGCACTGTTTTCAGATGGGTAACCACCATGAAATCTTCAGGATTTGGGCTTAGGCACAATGTGCATGATACTGTCTGTAGGAAGGCTTTTTTTTTGTTGTTGTTGTTGTTGTTTGGGGGGTTTTGGGGTTTTTCTGTGGTTTTTTTTTTTTTACCATGATATGACTAAACTAGCCCCAGAATCCTTCCTTTCGGCATTCTTTCTGGAATCCCTCCTGGTATCAACTTTCTCAGTTTAGGCCATCTAGGAAACACATGTCAAGATGAGATGAGAACACTAAGGGATGTACTGGGTGGAATAGCTTTGAACAAAGGAAGGGGACCAGGAGAGAAATTTTACACAAAATGAATTCTGACATCTAACAAGAATAGAGTTGGTCTGAGAATCAACCAGGTATATGATTCCTAGTAGTGCAAAGATTCCTCACTGAAGGATATTCTCACACTCTAAGAGTATTGTTGTGCTCAGCTTTGAATTAGGATCATCCCCTTAAAGGATTCCAATGAAGCATATTGATGCCAAAATTTATCTGTTATTCATTTGAAATTCAGATTTAATGGACAGTGATTTGATTTGTGGGGCTGGTGGTTTTACGTGAGTATCACAGCATGGCTACTCACTCATACAAGCCTGTTTATCTGTTACCCTTATCAGCAAAAGAGACCAGTAGTAGTAGGATGTCATAAGCCTTGAAGGAATTCAGTCAGCCACTTAGAATTACTCCGGCTACTTCAAGATTCTTCATTCTAGGATTCATTTTGACTTCATACATGGGCTTGTTTTCCTTTACTAGAGTATCTCTGATTCAGTGGGTAAAGATGCTTACTACCAAACCTGATGACATGAGCAATTTCCAGAACCCACATGGTAAAAGGAGAGGGCTGGGTTGACTCCCTGCAGGTTGTTTCCTGACTTACATTTGTACAACCTGACAACTGCACACTGAGAGAGAGAGAGAGAAAGAAAGAGAGAGAGAGAGAGAGAGAGAGAGAGAGAGAGAGAGAGAGAGAGAGAAGAGAGAGAGAGAATAAGTGCCATAAAATGTAGTATGCAAAGTAATGGTTTTCATATATACACAGATGTATACCTTTACGAACTGTCAGAATTCATACTTTTGCCCACTGCTCTCCTGCTTTCTGGCCAGTTCCTTCTCTTTTCTCTCTTTCATTTCACACACATTCATTTGTCCTGCTTTTCATATCCTTCTCTTTCATGATTTCCTTTCTCGTTTAATGATCTACAACCCCAACCCCCATACATAGACATACATAAAATTTTAAATTTGAGTTCAGAAACTGTTTCCAATGAAGACTGACCTGTGACTGTATATTTGTTTTATGCTATACTTTTGGAGTTTTGTTATTATTTTAGTATGACACATTTTAAGTCATTTACTTTGCAGTTTCTGGTATTTTATGTCATGTTTAGAGGGGTCTTTGCTATCCTGAGTATATAAACATATTTACTAGTATTATCCTACAGGAATTTCTTCTTTTAAAACATAGATATACTGAATTTTATTCCTCTTCACCTCCTATTCCCCTTTCTCCCTTCTTCCCTTTTGCATTGAAACCACCACCTTTAATTTGAATATAAAAGGAAAGGAACACTTTAGTTGTGTTTTAAATGTTTAAGTAGACATCTCTATATTGTTTATATCAAAAAGTCTTCCTTTCCACAAATTTTTCTGTGATGTTTTGATCCTTTTCAGTCTCTTGATTTTGATTCTAAGCTCCTTTGTTTTCTGTATTTAATAGCTAAACTGTCTAAATTATGATTGCCTTATATAAATTTACTATTGGCTGCATTCCATGGGTTTTACTAATGTAATATCTCGCATTATTTTTTCAGGTATATGCCGAATTACTATTTTAATTTATTCATTGTTAAACACCTGCTTACATGATTTTAAAACCTACAAATGGTAGAGATCTTAGGTATCATAAACTTTATTGTAGAACAATTATGAAATCTGATTTGTACTATTTCTATTTTTCAAAGCACATTTAAATGTGTGTGCTCACAGTATACATGCATATTTTGCTTAGGAGCCAGATGACCATTTTCCCCTGTATCTCTTAATTAAAAAGCAAAAGGGAGGAAACAACTCCCTTATTCCACATGTTACTTCTTGTAATTTGCAGTGGGTTAGGACATCAGAAAATATATCCTAACCATTTAGGTAGGGTATAGACACTTTTTCATTTTTGTAGCAGTGGGGATTAAATCTGGGGCTTTGTGCATGCTAGGTATTCACCCTACAAACTGAGCCATGTTTCCAACCCAAGGAGATAGGTTTCTTATACAGAAAAGTATTTGAATACCACAGTAAGGATGTTATGACAAAATGTCAACTATTAACAGACACTTTTATCTCCTCAGCTTCCTGTTATTACTTGATGTAGACATGTCACCAGGGCTAACACTCAATATACCTTCAGAAACTTTTGAGAGGTAAACAACTTAGGTATCTAGCTTGACAAATGATTTCTATTTGGGACAAGGGTAATAAGATTTCTGGAATATGACTCCACTCCTGGCAGATTATATCACAGGCTCTACTACCTGTGGGTTGTATCACCAGAAGAAAATGTCTTCTTTCTTTGGAACAAAGAATGTCCATCTTCCTGAGATTCTACATAGGGATGTGTTTTGGATCAATTTACTTTAGTGACATCTGGGTAGGATCTAGAATGAAAAGCACTATGAAAGGAACATTGAGGGGATGGAGGCAGGTCAAACATTCTGGTGCTTTTGTCCCTTTCATCCCTACTAATGAGAGAAGGGTACTTGGTACAAGTCTGATAGGTGGAGAGCCAAATGATGGATGAGTGCTGTGAAATGCTGGCTTCTGCCTATAACATGAACTCCCAACATCTGAGAACACCTATAGTGGGCTTGGCACAAAATTGGATCTGTCAACATTCTTCATGGGTGAAGGAAGGGCTCCTGGGATCCTGCCTCTTCCCAGGGAACTATTGAGTGTTTAATACTGCTGCTAAGGGCAGCAGGGATTCATGTTTTTCATCTATGTAGTTACTGGGGAGTCTTCCACACTCCAGAGGACATGTTCATGCCAAGCAACCCTTGTTATTTAAGGAGTCACAGAATCAGCTAACCAGAAAATATTACACATACACATAAAATGTGGGTAGGAGAATTGTTGGGAAGAGTAGGCTTGGCAAGAGTGGAAGGGAGGTAAAGAGGCTCCAGGTAGTGACCATGATCCGATTATATTGTGTGGTATGTGAGATTGTCAAAGAATATATTTAATTTTAAACAAGACGCATGGGGAGTGAAGGGAAAACAGCCACACGTTGAATGCTTGCTGATACTTTTATTCATATATTTTCCCTTTACAGATGATGGTGACTAAAAGCAGATGGATTTCCCAATCCCACCCACCCCCATAATATACAGACACTGATTCTATTCAGCATATACAAGCATTGGGGCATATACAAATTCATCTCAAGGGGTTACTAGAGGCAGGAGTTCAATCTGTGGAACAATCTGAGCACCTCAGGCCTAGTTATGGGGCAAGCCCATGCTGAGGGGATCCTGTCACTCTAGTCTTTCCCACTGGGGTGCCAGTAAGATAAATAAGATTGAGTCATGGTGACCAGAGCTGCCTAGCCCTGCCATGTACTTTAATAGGTAACAGGGGGCTCCAGATTGGCTTCCAGAAAGATCCACAGTCCCATAGAAATCTGTTTCTCAAGGTTGCCACTGCATTATGACAACCTGTGCCCAAAGGTGTCACAGGGCTATACAAGATTCCAAATAGAAACGTTTTGTCAAAATACTTTGCCAAAGGGAAAATGTTATACAAATTTAAGGGAGTTCAATTGGTTGAAATTGTGTGAGTGCCCCAGGGATGGCAGTGGACTGGCTTATGGGTCCAGGGGCCAAGGAAGCAATCAAACAATTAGACTGTGCCTGAGGTGAGCAGCAGTCAGCAGTAGTCAATAACAGCTGCTCAACAGAGTATTCTTGGTTTCTTGGCCCCTGAGAGACACAACGCCTAGCACCTGGATCAGGGCTGGGAAAGTCACTGGGGAAGTTACAGAAAGAATCACAAGAATCAAGAAAGAGGAAGAAGGAGGCATACAAAGCAGGGGAAATTACAAACATTGCACACAAGAATAGATACCCATTAGATGAAGGGAACTGAATTGGTAGTGCAGATGGAAGCGGGGGTGGGGGGAAGGAGATGGCACAGCAGCAGAGACGGGTTACTTTCCCAAATCGGCCCACTTGCTGGCTCCTTTCCTCCTACAGATAGTGGTGTGTGTGTGTGTGTGTGTGTGTGTGTGTGTGTGTGTGTGTAGAGGAAGAGAGGGCAGGGAAAAAATCAAATAGTCTGACTTAAAGACTTAAGAATGAGGACCCTCCTTCTGCTATACTGTCGCTCTGTGAATTCTGGGGCTGAGCCTGAGCTGGGCCCTTTAGCACCACAAATGGAACCATGGCCTCCTGGGGAAAAACAGTAGCTGTAAACACAACTGAAAAATAGCTTATCTGCCCAAATGTGGGCACACTGAACATCATGGATACTCATTGAAGAATAGAGAGGTGGGATGTTACTTGAGAAGTGCTGTTGAGAAGATTGAGTGAAGGGGCCAACAGAAGGAGGACCAGCAGAGACAAACTCCTCAGGTTTGCTGCTGTTGCTATTGTCTCCCAACTCCCTTGGCAAAGGGGCTTAGGACCTTGTGGGGAACTGAGGTTGTTGCCCCATGAGCTCCTGGCTGGAGCCTACAAGTTAAGGCAGATCAGCCAGTAGAGCACATTAAAGAAGAAGAATGTAATGGGGAAAAGTACCCGCGAGTAGTTATCCAGGCGATAAACATGGATGCAGATGCGACCCCGCTGCCAGTTGCTGCCCTCACAACCAGGAGCCATGCAGAAATACTTCCTGAGAACCCTGAAGCACACATAGCTTCTGCCACACCGCCTCCAGGGACACTGAGGTCTTCTTGATCTTGGAGACCACAGATACCCCTCTTCAGCATTTTCCTCATAAGTGACAATCTCACACACAAACACTTCCTGCTGCTGGTGTGCACGGGCACGAGCACGAGCTCGAGTTCGTGCACGAGCACGAGTACGTGCATTAGCACGGCTATTGGTTGGAAGCTGAAATAGACAGAGAGAAAAAAAGAGAAAGAAATGGTCAAGGAAATGTGAGTCAAGAGGAAAGGTTGTCTAGAATTTCCTAGAAACCATACTTTCCACACCAGTTCTAGTCCCTCTGGGATTCCCACCATCACGACAGGTTTATTTCCTCTATAACTCCAGGGAACTTCTCATCACTTGGAAAGCTAGCCACCCACACGCAATAAACCTCTTATCTTCAGTCTAAAGTTTTATTTCCCATACCAACACCTGGTTCTTACTTGGTAGAGCCTTGGAGAAGTCTGTTGTTTAATATTATTGTAGGTCAGAAAGTTGAGCACAGTGAACTCTAGTAGAGTACAGAAGCACAAGACGAAACAAATTGCAATATAGAAGTCCAAAGCTGTGAGATAGGAGACTCGAGGGAAATTCTTATGAGAAAAGGTGCCCAGCGTGGCCATGGTGAGCACAGAACTCACCCCTACAAAAGCAAGGAGGGAAGGTGAACTTAAGCTCTGACCATGCTGTAGGACAACAGGAGAAGGCAAATATTTCCCTTGGTCAACACTAATCTATGACATATGCCCATGTTTAAGGTCACCATACTTTCTTACCTACTGAGGCCCTGGCAGCAGCAGCTTCTATCTTGATCCAGAAGGAGACCCAGGACAGAAGTCCTGTGGTGACAGAAGAAGGGACATAGTTTTGAAAGACAACAAAGCCAAACCGCCTGCTCACATTGAAGAAGAATGTCATGACCATGAAGTCACCTGAAAGACATCAAATATACCACTGCATTACAGTACTGGCCTGATGTCCAGCATGGTTCATATATCGTGGATCCCACTGTCCAGCTCATGGGCAACCTTCCAGAGTTCTAGAATAAAGACACATTATTTCAGTACAGCTCAGTAGAAGCTCAGAAATGAGATTTACTGTAAGACCCATGGCCAGTTGAGAGATAAGCCAGCACAAGAGTATTAATAAACCCACTTTCAGTTCATTGATTCAGTCTCCCAAAATCCATTTTTCCCAGAGTATCAGTAGTGAGAGAAAAGTTAAAAAACAAAACCAACGAACCAACCAAACAAACAAACAGAAAACAACCCCACAACATTTACGTTCTTGGTATCAAGACCTAATAGCTGATGCCTAGCTGAGACCTTCCAACCTACAGAAATGCAATTTATAGTTTGTGATATCACAGCATTATCTTCACTTCTATCCCTCACAGCATACCTACTTGGGTTAGCCAAATATGATATATTCTGCTATATATGAGCTACATCATAAAGTCTACATTATGTATTCTAATTCTAAGACCTAACTGGATTTGACTCATATATATGCATACATACAACATGAATGCCTTACCCCAAACTAATTGAACTCAGTTTAGATACCACATATATGTATCCTGGTAAGTAAATCCTGGACTCCCTGTTCTTAATCTATTACTCCTCAACCTAAATTCAGTGTTCTAGGAAAATAGAAGAATTAGGTGAATATGAATTTTTCAGTCAACCATTAGATGTTAGGTCTGCAGAATATTCAGTCAGAAGGCAGCATAGGCCTTCACATTCACTTGGACATAATTGTCTTCTCTTATACTTATTCCAGATAGCAATGGATCTTTCAGAAGTTGATCAAACTAGCTGCATATTCTGTTCCTAATGCTGCTCCTAATGCTCTTTATAATACTATGACTCCATGCTTAGTTTGCCCAGAGGAACACTTTTACTCTCTATATGCCATTAAACATTAAATTGACTCAATTATGGGCTTTTTTCTGTAGAGCTAAGCCCTCAATTTCCAGTTCTGTGATGCAACAGTCACCTGTGACTTTAAATTAAATGGACCTTCAAGCCCCTTCTAAGAAGGACTCATATAAAGCCTTCAGCTTAGCTCTTAACCAACCAAGCCTGGAATAACATGGAAAGCGATGGTGCTTAGTGACTTTTGATACGCATAGTCAAAATAACCTTGGAAAGCAGACACAAACACTAACTGTCTACTAATTGTAGATTGTACAGAAAACAGACCACCTGCCTGGCAAGTCTGAGTGGGCCAGTACAGATTGAGAGCAACCTTTCCCCCTTCCACTTGGAGGAACAAAGCTTCTCGGGTTCTTCAGAGAAAGGCAAATAAATGGCTTATGGTCAGTAGGAAACTTCCTGCCTGGAGAGTAGTATCTTTAACACTAGATTTAATACTTTAACACCAGGGACCATGCTATGCTACTAGCCAGAATAACCAAATTATTAGTCCATCTATCCTAAAGTCTTGACTGTGATTAAAAACTTCTTTAATATGTTTGTTACAAGATGTATTGTGCTGTTGGGTTTTTCATTCTTTAAATTTATTCGTTCTGATTAAAGAAGAAACTTTCTTATTTATTAAAAGCTAGAAATTTGACAAGAGAAGGATACTAACATGTCCTTCCTTCATTCTGATGAGTGAAGAAGCACTATCAATGGAAGAGAGGTATTCTAGGATTGAAAAGCTAAACCAAAACAAAATGGATTAAAGATGACTTTAGCTCTTACCTGTGTTGTCCATATCATAGTTGGGGGATGCAATGCCAAAAAGATACAATTAAAAGACTGTCCAGAGGACTAGTGAACTTAAGGTATTGAAGAACAAGAGAAGAAAAGGAATTGGGAAACTGAGTCCCAATAGAATACAAGTGCATGCTCTAATGTTAACCTTAGATCTTTACATTTGACTTTTGGAAGCATTGGCTTCAGTTAATATAAACCAGGTAGTTATAGTGGAAAAGAACTAGATCTGATGGGCAAATGTTCTAGAAAATCCCATTTTAGATGAGCAAGAAGAATTTGCTGATGGGAAGAACTAGGGAAGAAAATAATATCCTCACAAGACATTGGCCTCTTGATGATGGCAAGATTTCCTCAGAGGTTCAACAGCCATCAGTGAAGGATAGTTCACTTGCTACAGACAAGGCTTCACTTTCTGAGAAACTCCTGAAGCAGAAACTCTGCTCTAAGGTCCAAGGTGGCCCAAGTTGCAGGGCACTGCTGCATTCAAAACCCTGAAAAATGAGTACATGTATGATCTAGCTAGAAAGAACTGCCCTGGTGTCAAACTGGAAGAGTTGGGATCTGACTCAAAAATAACTCTGACAGTGTAGACACTATGGTTCGGAATAAGTAGTCTCTAGCCAAAGAAAAAGAAGACCTATTTCTTTCTCCATAGAAAGAGATGTTGCTTACCTACTGTCATTGCTTCACTGATGATGCTGGCTCTGGGGCTTTGTAGTCACTAGGGCACCATTTTGAAACAATGCATAAACCATCTACTAAACGGAACCACTAGTGACTTGAAAGCCCCTGGGCCTTGTCTCTTCTGCCAGTTCTGATGATAGGGCACCACCTATCTGGACAAACTGAAATACTAAGAGTCAGGTCCACAGTTATCTAGTAGAAGAGCAAGAATCCCAAGCCAAAGCAAGCAAAGTAGCTTTCTCAGAGCCCCAGGAAAAGGAGAAGCAGCATCCATCCCCTGCCTAGTACTGTGTAAGCAAAGCTTCAGTCAGGTGAGCATAAGTTGCTCCTCACCCAGTGACCAACAGGAGCAATAGTGGATTTTTTTTATGTCATCATCACACAGAAGCAAAGCAAAATAGATGATAAAAGGTGGGCTGGGTGACCTGCTCCATCCATATTCTTGTCAGTACATGTGAAGAAGGTTCAGGGTTGCTGTCAGAGCTAACCTGGGAAGACTCCTTGGCTCCTCATTCAGGTCACCTAGGAATACAAGCAAAGAGGCTCACATCTATTCGGAGCTACAAGTTAAGAGACCCAGAATCTGCCCCTATTGTCATTATCAGGAACAAGATCAGAAAAAATTTTTATATATATGTTTAATGTTGATTCCACTATAAAGCCTTTGGTGAACATATGTGCATTTCATAGTTGCTCCTTTAAGATAATGTTACTGTATCAGCCATTGCAGCTGAATAACTACCTGCAGACCCAACCCCCACTAGCTACCATTATTACTCTAGCTTCCACTTCTACCTCCTGCTAGGGTGGATCTTCCTTCCCACTCAACCAGCTTGACTTGGCTCAGGGTTTGGAGAAATCACAAAAGGAACCCTCTCAAATTTTGTCTAAGTAAGTCAGTGATATAACAAAGACATTGAATACAAAGGATCTAAAACCAAAAGATAGGTGAATGTACTGAAGGTTACAAAAAATATATCTACTTACCCCACCATTCAAGGGGCTTGGCAAAGCACTTACTTCTTTGCAGATGAGACTGAGACATAGCTATGAAGTCTCAGTTTCCTCTGCAAACAGTTTGCTTAGCATATATGAGAGAGAAGCAATATCCTTGACAGTATTTCCATGAGCTCTTCACATAGCATTTGTACAAATAGCCAATTCCAGTTACTGGCACTATTCCCTCAGCTCTAGCTCCCACTGCACACCTACCAAATGGGGTGGAGATGATTTCAGTTTTGTTGTTCACTCCTGTAAAATCAAACTCCAATAGCTTCCAAGTGTTCTTCACATTGATTTCGAGCTTGAAATTCTCCCACTTGTAGATCATTTCATGGTCATCATAGGTAACTGGAAATCAATGTGGAAAAGAGGAGTGAATGAAACTGGGAAGCCCAGTTGAGGGCCCCACAAGCATGCTGTTAGCTTGAACCATGTTATGGACTTTTGACTTTGGCTTCACCAGCTTTGAGATCCTGCCTTTGGCCTAGTTGTCGAAGTGTGTTCAATAAGTACATTTGCCCTGGGCTTGGAATGCAATGATGAGTAAGGTATGAACCTATTCTCCAGCATTCACATTTCACTGAATAAGGCCATGTAGAGCTGTGAGTTTTGGGGTTGCTCTGAAAAATCTCTACCCATGGAACAATTGGCAACGAAGGAAAAGATCACTTGGGGACACATTCAGAAAAGACTTCCTAGAGCATGGGGCATTCACTTTAAGTTTTGAAAATAAACATTTTCTATACAGTTGAGGTTGAAGCTGGTGAAAGGGAAGCACAGAAAGGTGAACGTGGAAACAGCAAAATTTAAAGAGACTATTTCACAGATGGGTTGTGTAGCAGGAAGCAGCAGGGGTCATGTCATGAAGGGCTTTGAGGTTCATTTTAAGGATTTTAAAATTGATCCATGCCAGCTAAGAACAGATTTGGAATAGGGAATGAAAGGTAACAGTCAGAATGCAGAGATAGAGGTGAGATCAATAAAGATTTGTAGGGAACATCAACAGGATGTGTGGACTGAGTAGATGTAGGAGGTCAGTGAGGGGAGTGTCAGAGTTCTTGGCTTGGGCAACTGAGTGAATGATGGCACCCTTCAATGAGGCGACACAGAAGTGACACATTTGCTTTGGAGGCAGGAGTTGGGAAGAGACAATGGATTTAGCTTAGGACACGTTCTGTTTCAATGTGAAGATGTTGCAGAAGTCCAAGCAAAAGATGTTTAAAGCCCTGCATCAAGGCAAAGATGGAGAGGAGCAGGCGTACTTCAGATACACTTCAGAAGCAGGTGACTAGCTTAAGGTAGAGCAAGGGTGAGGGAAGAATTCAACATAAAGCCAAAGTAATGCACACACAGCATTGCTGGTAGGAAAAGGTGTGAGGATGGAAAATGGAGGCTTATAGCAACTTTGTCACCATCACAGGAAAAAAGCAGAAGCAGGAAAATGTAAAAGGGAAAGATGAGCAAAAGAGGGGCCCAGCGTATCTCTGGATCCCCAGAAACCTAAGAAGGTACTCACAGCTAGAGAAAGACAGAGGGCAAGAGTGAGAATCCATTGGAAAATTGAGCATGTAGAGTGAGCATCTTGCATCAATGGTCATCCTGGAAGGGAGAAAGGAGCCTCATTAGGCTGGCTCTGCACACTTAGGTATTTACTCAACATTGACCAGGGTATCACCTCTAACGAGTGGCATCAGTAGAATTTAAGACAAAAAGCCCAAAGGAGTGATACAAAGAGAGGAAGAAGAACTTCTAAAATCTGACTACTAGCTACATCATTAAAGAAGTACATGGGCCAGCCTGGATTGATTTTTCTTTCGTGTTCAATCCAGTGCTCTAGTCCTATGCTACTTTCTACTACCTCCATATCCCATATTGCTGACACAAACATCTCCTTCCAGGGATTCAAGTTATGTAGCCTAGTCCTGAATACTTTTCATACTGATGTATTTCTTCTGTGCCTGGACGATTCTGCCACTGTGGATATGTCTTTATATATTATGCCCACATGAGATGGAATTGTCCAGCTAATAAAGTCATTCTAGCACCTACCTTCTAGACTGTGTGGCAAAGAACAGCTCCCATGATTACCAAAACAATTGGCATGTGTCTATAAGCAGCATCTTTTATTTAAGATCTCAATGTCTGTATCTGCATAGGAGGAGGTTGAATCCCTAGTTTAGAAAAGCTGCACAGGGTTTTAGAAATATTATTCAGAATGATATATCTACTTAGGAGCCCCTAGCTAAAATTTTCTAGAAGAGTGAGAGAGTCTTAGAAGGTGAGACACTAAAGGCTTGACATACCTAACTGAGTACAACACCTTTCCATCCTTGTGGATGAGAGCCATCTGGTTGGGTATGGTGATATCATACTCTTGGGTCCTCTTAGAATTCCTAAAATAGGTATCCGGGATCCACAACTGGCTCACCACGCTGGCATGCAGAATAAGGGTCTCAAAGGTGTCATTGTAACGAAGATGCTCATCATACCAGGTTTGGTAGAAGATGATGTCAATGGAATATTCCTGGTGGGAAGGGACAGAAAACCATATACTTGGGGCTAAGTAGACAAGAGACAGTCACATGCAAATGTGGTGTTTGTCACTACTTAACATAGAAACCTGAAGACAGCCTGGTAGAATTAGTGGGACATTGGCCCAAGAAGCTGAAGAAGGGTGAAGCACCTTCTTTGTAACACATTTCTTTTAGTGTCAGTACTGAAGGGGACTCAGATATTACCACATCCAAGAAATCAATCACATCCTGCTTGATTGGCACAACTAAGGGTGCCAAATGCCCATAGTATGTAGTGAGCAATACTATTCTTTACAGCTCAGAGCTGTAGAAAGGGTTGCTGTAAATCAGTTCCCTACTTTCTCATAGCAAACTCCTTTCTGCCTTGCAGAAGAATTCAAAGCAAGTCTAAATCCTGTTCTGGAGAATCAGTCATCAAAGTGACATTTCACCATTTTTGTTTTGTTTTCTTTTGTTGTTTGATATGGGATCTTATTACAAAGCCAGGGATCATCTTAAACTTGTAAGTATTCTGCCTCATTTTTCTGGGAAGTTCCCTCAAATAGCTCTGCTGCCTTCTATAGCTGACATTGTGGCCTCTCCTCTCTAGCAATAGGCAAAGGCCTCATATTATTGACATATCCTTAGGCTTGCATCTATCTAGGATACAAAGAGGAAAGCAACATATGTTTAGGTCCAGAAAATTTCCATTGTTGTGTTCTGTAAAGAAAATAATATTCTCAAATAGGTAGCACATTGCATTCATCAATAAACCCCTGGCCTATGTGGATCATCAGACGGCTAAACTCATGTTACAATTACATAGGACAGTGGTGCTACTCTTACTAGGTCAACACACTTTCGCCCCTACACTGCAAATCAAAAATCCCAGCTCAAAAGTACTCAGAACTGTATAAGTACACACAACTCATTGTACAAAAGAAAGGTTCCCTTCTAGCTTTTATTCATGGAGCACAGCTATTAATTAACCCCAATCATTCATTCACCAGAATTATATTTTAAAATGAAATGATTTGATTCACAAGAGAAATGTCTATCTATTGTCATGTTTTTTTTAACAAGGAGAATTGTTTGTGTTTTGTTTTAAATTTCCTTTCAAATAAGTGCCCATAACCTCTGAGGAGTGTGTGCACATGAATAGATAGCTCCATGATTATGTGGTCTGTATGTATTATGGATCCCATAAACTGTTAAACATCAAGAAGGATGTTTAATAGGAAGCACAAGAAGCAAGTTCATGTGGCTGATGCTTGTAGGGCAATACACAGATAGCAATACAATTGTAATCAGTTTGAAGCAAGTACCAGAGCTATGCTCAATTAAAGGCTGATTGTCTAATTTATTTTAGAAGTAGGTAAACTGAGACTTGGAGAGAGACGTCCAAAATCACACAGCCAGTGGTGCCACACTAGTGCTGCCACTCAGAGTACTTTTACCCTGACCTTACCCTGGCATTGCCTTCACTTGTTCCAAAAATAAGTATCAGATGGGCCTCATGACCCAAGCCTATAATCTTAGATACTTGGGAAGCTAAGGCAGGAGAATTAAAAGTTCAAGTTATACCTGGGCTAGAATGAATCAAAGTCAGCCTGGGCTACAGTGTGAGACCCTGCCTCAAATTAAAAAAAAAGAATATTTGTCCATCATGAATGAGACACTAGTCATAGAAACCTAGACCCTAAAGGATATTAACACCCTCTGAGAAGGAACAAAAATCCCAGCTGGCCTTTACTGGACTGAGGCAATAGGTGCCAGAAGCAGCCATCAAACCGCTGGTAGCCAGAAAAGAAAGTAAAGGGCAAAGTGTTTACCAAAATGAACTTGAAAAGCCAGAAGTTAATGGCAGAGCTCCTGATCCTGTCCAGCCCTGTCCTGTCATGTTTTGTCCTGTCCTACCCCATGTATCCTCACAAAGAGCCTTCAAAGAATTTGCATCTTCCCAGTTGCTGACAAAGTCTCATTCATATCTCAGCACATGAACTGTATGGTGGTTGATGAGAAATCTTCCCTTCCTCCAGCCATGCTGTAGGTCTGCTATACAATGTTCAAAACAAGTATTTAACTGCTGTTTAAGAAGATACCAATTATAAATTCTTCATACATCGATGTATAACTAATGGTTTCCAATTAAGTTTGACAGGTAACTAGAGACAGATCTCTTTTACTCTAGCTGAAATAGAAATGTGGCATTTCAGAACTGGATTAATTAGAATCACCTTCGATAATTACCATAGTAAGAGCCAGCATTAGCAACTGGGAATGTTGTGACCAGGAAGTTTTATCTAGACTGGTCACTCCTTTTAAGGTCAGACTGGGTATTTTCAGAGTTAAGCAAAGGAATGATTAGAAACATTTGGTTACAATGTATAGACAATGGTTTTAGGTTTCTCTCTACTAGTCTACCTGGCCAAGTGACTGGCACCAAATACCCAGTTAACCAACTCCACTACTGGGTTGCTACCTCTTTAACCAAGAAACCTTGCTGAGACCATCAAGTGCTTCAAATGTTGATGTCAGAAAAGAAGACTTGGCTGCCACGAAGAACAGAGATAATCTATCCCATGACATTGCCATATCTGTGGCTATGTGGTATACACATATGTTCTCCTCAGCAAATGAATTAGAGGAAAACAGGCTAAACAAGAACGGTGCCTCACCCTTTGCTTCATTAAATGATATGGAATTGTATAGAAGCTGAAACTTCTTGGGGGAGATTATGTATAAGGCTTTGTTAGGTTAAAAAAATACCAACATATTGGTTAATTAAGTCACATTCTTGTTCCCATAGTGAAATAGATCTGTGTCTGATATCAAATTGAATGACTTCTGGATGGTTAGATTGAATACTTAGGGCTAGTTGGGTGTAAGTACACCTAGAAGTTCAGGTGAGACTGGTGCTAGCAGGATTAATAGGTGTTGAACAAGGGGAGATGTGCATTTATGTATTATAAGTGGGGCTAATGGTCTGTTGCCACAAGGATTCTTGCAAGGGATTAAAATGAGTTACCCCAAATTATGACCTACACAAATTGCCTGAGAAATTTTGCACTGCCTTTAGATTCTATAGGACACTCATCCAGAATACTCATCCAGAGCCAAGTAACTTAGGATCATTTGCTGTATTTATCGATGTATGTGATCTCTTCTACTTATTAGCCTATTAAATTTAGCCAACACTAAGTAGGTGAAAGTGGGCAGCTTATTAGTGAAGGAACCAGTCAGTTTGCTAGAATTTAGAATGGCATAATAAAGAGAAAGAGCATAGAATACACCTACAAAAACACTGTGAGCCAGACTTTTACCCAGTCAATGTACACAGCTTGATTTCCATCAAGGTTACTTACCTCTGAGTCCATCAGAACCACTCATCTCAACATCAGCTGCTGAGCTCTGGGGTATATGGTGATTATTAGGTGTCATTAAGGATGTAAAGCCAAGTCTACTGCTATTACAGAACTGATTATCACAAACTTTCTTTATCAAATACTGCACATCTGAATTTTGCAGAGCATCTTTTGTAATTCATTTTTGAGCTACCATATACTATGTTCTAAGCATCAAGGATTCGATAACAGAGAGAGTGAGACTAATAAAACAATTAATTACCATGAAATATACTAGGGAAGGTAAACTACATGAAATCCAGAAAAATGTGAGTGCCCAGAGAGGGGCATGGTGTACAACAGGAGCAATTAGTTACTATGTGAGTCAGAGAAGTTCCCTTGAACAAGATGCTATGTGAGCTGGACCCTGAATGAGTGAAAAAGTAGATCAATGGCATCTCAAACTTGCACAAAGGTGAGCTCTGAGGTACAATGTTGTCTTAGAATGTGCATATTATACTGTGGTTATAGTCTGTGGACTTTAATGGGATGAAAAGGAACAGAGTCATAGCCTGCTAGATAATGGGTTTGAACTATAAATACAAGAGGCACATTACTGAGGAAGCTTGTTCAGTATGACTGGGCAGGAAAATATTTGCATATTTCAGGTGGAAGATGATGAAAGTAAATTGGGGATCATATAGATAACAGGAAAGGGAGGGAGACAATAGGACTAAGACAAAATTATGGAGATAGGTGTACAGCAAGAAATGTCAACTATAGATTTAAGTTCATCCAATAATCAGACAAAGACAGGCATTCCATTGTGATATTTACAGTTGTTTTATTGTTTTATTTTGAATGAAAAACTGAAGATTAGTGTCAAAATCCCAAAGGTCCTCTTCAGGCATCAAAAGACTTACCTTTTCCATTCATGTTTTCAAGTTAATTGTGGTTAAAAATTTTCAAGTTAATTATGGTTAAAAATCCCCACCTGAACTCCCAAACAACAACAATACCCTACCTGTTGTATTAGTAACACAAACAGCAGAAAGCAAGTAAGTGGCACCTTTGGTGTCCAATCTAGGAAAATCTGCATCAAAACTCTGTACTCACCATGTCCAGGATGGAAATAGGCCCGAGGCTGTTGACAAAGACTTCAACAGTGACCACAGTAGGCTTCTCTGTAAGACATAGACATAGTACAGGGTAAATGTTACATAGAGGTATGACATCAAATAGGGAGTCGTCAAAGGAGGGAAGAGGGCCAATCCTATTTCCTTTGTTCTTCTATGGAAAGTCCCAGCTCATGGACTACAAGGGCTAGGCATATATCTTCAAATCATTCAACTTATTTTTGGAATTGGAAAAACTGAGGGGAAAAGAATGGGAAAGTGTTGATCAAAGTCCATGACATTCTTAACCTAGAGGAGCCATTGTGTCTTACCTGGTGGATCCGCAGCAGTTGTTCCAGTGTGCATGTGGTAATCCATACTCATTGCCTGCAACTATGTATAAGACCTGCTTTTCCTTAAGGAGACGAGGTTTTGTTTTTTTTTTTCCATTAACTTACCTCCAATGCTGAGGCGCAGTTTATGGTCGTAGTTGTTCAGGATGGTGTTAAGGATTCGAGAAGCTCTTGTCAGTTTCCCACCCGGGCGTTCAGTCATGCAATCAGCAGTGAGTTCTGTTTCTTTTGCTGGAAACTTTTTTCCACTAGGTTGAGGCTCCAGTTGGGACTGAGGCTCTGGTTCCAGCTCCGGCTCTGGCTCAGGTTCAGGCTGGGGCTCCGGCTGGGGCTCCGGCTGGGGCTCCGGCTGGGGCTCCGGCTGGGGCTCTGGCTGGGGCTGGGGCTGGGGCTGGGGCTCTGGTTCTGGCTCCAGGTCCAGCTCTGACTCAGGCTCCGGCTGGGGCTC